TGTTCATTGTATTACTTCTTTAAGTTATAATTGTGATGAATATTAAATTGATCTATTATACATATACTTATTATGTTATGATATTATTTATGTGTGACTATCTGACTCTATCTCACACTAGTGGCTAGAGTGAGACATTTCTCACTCCCCGATTGTTTACTGTGTTATATGTGTATTTTCCAGGTGAGGATCATCTTGATGATGATGTTGGTGACAAGGCTTATGCCTTGTGATATGCTTGTGGGTCAAGCTTTGATAGGATATGAATCCATGATTTAGAGTTATGTTTTGCATTCTTTTGAGGTCTTGTCTAATTATTTTAGAAAACTTGTTATTCCTTTGGAGTTTTGTTATGGATTTTGGTTAGTTACTTGACTTTATTTATTTTGGTTTTCGTATTAGTTACCTCTTCTAAAAAGTGTTTAAGTTTGTGAAACAATGTGAGTTGTCTACCCTTGAAAGTGCTCTTGCAAACCTTTTGTAATGTTTATGGATAAAGTTTAATTCAAAAAACTTTTTATTGCTTAATGATTAATTATATATGATGGCTAGCAGGATAAGGGTGTCACAATAGTTATCTATATCAACATGAACAATTGCTGGGGTTTCATGAAGTAAAATTTTCAAAAAAAAAATTCATTAAAAGATCCTATATTCCTATGAGTAGAACAACCCATTTCCTACAAATCACACGGTACCAAGAACTACACTAAGGGTTTGAGATTTTACCTTTGGAGCATGCTTTAAGAATTTTCATTGAATAACCTTTGTTTGAATGGAAGATGATCTATCTTTGATCACCAAGCACCAAGAGCATAATGTCTCTACTTAGTCCACACGAGCATCACACACTAGAGCAAGAGTTGGTGCTAGCCACAAAGAGACGGCAAAAAACCTTAATTTTAATGTCTTTTTTTAAAAATTAGATTAGTGCGTTCTTTTATGGACTACTATTTAACTTAATTTGCATCCTTATTGGGTTTATACAATATAAGTCCAATTTTTTTGTCCAATTTAATTAAATTTTTATCAATTAATTAACCATGAAATTAAATCTCATTTAATTTAATGACTTGCTACAAGTTTTTACTCAATGTGTGTGATCCCGTGGGTTCTCACTTAATTTGCAATAATAATTAAATATCATGTTGAATATCATATTAAATATTATAGACAAATATTGGCATATAACAATGCATCATTGCCACCCAATTAATGAGACAAATCGATGATTCGATTTCAACCTTCCACAACCATAATTACTATAGAATAATTTGATTCTTCATCCATGTGTCTTTGATTCGAGCACGAGACATAAAAGTTTCATTCTCGTTAAGTTTAATCATATGTTTCTCAATACCTAAATATAAATTCAACCACATGATTCATTGTAGGCTCAAATAAATACCTTTATAATTATCCTATTACGGATAACATTTGTTAGCATCAAAGCCTACAACGCCTACACGTAGGAATTGTAATGATTTCAAGTTGAAGGATTACTTTTCTATGGTTTCCATGAGAAACACTTATGACACTTACATAATTATTATGAATCCTTTTCATAGTGTGTCCATTTGGTATAAATACCAATATTTATACATGTGTGCTTGACTCGATATCTCATATCCACGATGTATGAGATGCAATCATCAATCAATTCAATAATATTAATGTATTATTGTTGTCTTAGCCATCAATAATACTTAACTATGGATAATTTAAGAATGATATTATTTGTTCAAAGAATCTCATAATTAATTCATATTTAATATATCTTTAAACGAATAGTTTATTCTAAGGACGTTACTATACTACAAAGACAAATAGCTAAAATGACTAAAATATCTTTGTATCAAAATCATGATACATATAAAGGATTAGCCACCAGGACTAACTCCAACAACATCCAACACATAAACTTCACATAGATACAACACATAAACTTAGACAATTCACAATAACATCAGATAAGATAAGCAACATGTAACACCAAGTGTTTTAATGCTTTATTTTATCATAATATGATATATGTTGTTATATATGACATTATGTTGTAGTTGTTTTTTTAGAGCTCTAAGGTTCAAGAGATTCTTGAGAGTTGAGTTATTTGCAAATTTTTAAGTCGAGGTCAAAGGTGACTAATTTTTGTAACTGATTAATGTTGTTTGTAATCGGTTACTTTGCTTTATAAAATTCATATTTATTTATGGAAAACCTTTTATCAAAAGTTTCTATTAAACTCACTTCATACTTGATTGAGTTTATCTTCATAAAACTCTTATTACTTTGATTAGTTGTATTTTAATCAAGATAGGTAAGAAACCACTTGCTTCAAGCACCCACATAATCTATCTAACCTATATAAGCTTTAGGAGAAGAATCTCTATTACATTTAAAACATAAAAAGGAAAATATACATAATCATAAGCTAAACCTAATTCTTCATAATCTTTTTTTCTATTCTTCAAGCATTAGTGCTAACAACCATTGTCCTTCTCCACCATCTTAGCTCACTACACCACTAGGTTGATGGTTTTGTTCTACATTATTTGAATAGTTGATTGTCTTTTAAAAAAATTGCATTTTATAAAAATTTTCTAGTCACTAAATTTTGAAATGCAATTTTTTGTCAAAATAGAGAAAAAAAATTGTTTTGCTTTCTCAATTGGTTTTAAACCCATTTTCAAGTTTTTAACTTTTTAATGATTTGTTGATAATTAAAATTTTACCACGGGTTTCTAAATATCAAACTAAGTTTTCAATAAAAAATTTTAATTATTTTTATTTTAGAATTATTTGATACTTTTACGTAAATTAAAGATATAAGGTTAATAAATCAAATTGATCAAGTGTGTGAAAAATATTATCACGTTCATGTGGATTTCTCATGTTAAATTAAACATGTGACGAATGTCATCACGTTATTGATAGTGCATAATTAATACATATTTTACTATATTACATTGTGCTGATTTGATATTTAGAAGTATTTTAAACAGATGAATTGATTAACATTTGTTTGAGTTGACTATTTTGGTTGCAATTCTAAATTCTAATTAATTTTCATAATTTCTATTTACTTTGACATGTTGTCTTGCATAGGCCTTATTTGGAGCTCCCAAACTCAAAAGTGGACATTCTTAGTGTCCCTGATAAGTTAAGAAGGAGTTCTACAACTTTCCTGTTGAGAGTTTCACCCAGTTTAGATGTTTAAGGATCTAAAAATGAATTTCAATGTTACACCTCGGTCCAACTTCTCTCTATATTTTTTACATGAATTGATTACAACAACTCGTTGAAAATGTGTGGTTAATCCATTCAATTGATTTGAAATTTCATGAATTGTGGTAAAATTTGAGTTTTCGATCTAATTTTACCATACGAATTCTCTTTATCTTCTTCTCTGTTCTAGATCTAAATTTTCATTTTCATGATTGTGAATTTTTTTTTAATTAGATAATGAACAAAATTGAAGATTAATTTTGGATCAAGACTTAAAATAACCTACATCACCTAAATCAATCATTCACTATTCTTGAATTTCATGAAAATTGTGAGATTGCGATTATGATTCACATTTTTATGAAATTAAATAGATTTCAATTTAGATCTATATTTTACTTATGTTTATGTTGATTTAAGTTAATTGAATTCAGATTATAATTTAAATCATGAAAATTTTGCCATAAGAATTGAAATCTTGAATCTATGCAAATCTTTGGAGAAAATATAATAATTTTTTTATACTGAATTGGGAACACTGCAATTATTGTTAATTTTGACATGATGGTATGTTGAACCCTTCAAAAAATCTTTTTGAGGAATAATGATGGATGAATTGTCTCACGCTAAGGATTGTTACTAGTGTGAGAGACAGTATTATAATGTTATCTTAATAAGGATTGTTACTAGTATATGAAAATTAAAAATTAATATGGTATCACGCCTAAGGTTGTTACTGGTGTGAGATTTGTGAACAAGTATTTTGTGTTTAGGATTAATACTAGCAAAAGATTTTGTAATTCCACTCTTAGGGATGTTATTGATGCAAGATTTAATGTTTGGTGTGTAGTCTTGCACATAGGGTTGTTAGTAATGCAAGATTTTAAATTGTGTGTCTTAAATTTAAGGATATTACTAGTGTTATACATGTTCATTGTTGTGAATATTTGTAATAGAAGTGACAAAACCAAAGATTTGACCTTGAGATTTGTTTTAGTAGAAAATGAGACTTTTTGCATGAGTCATGGGTTGGAAACATAAAGTTGGAGAAGAATTATTATATATTGTTCTCCATTGTAGAGAATAAAAATGCAAGGTATATGATCTAGGTATTTGAAAAAAGGAAATTACACACAAAACTATGACTAGAAGAGGAATTTGTTTTAGTGGGAGAGGGAGTTGTTAGGAAAATGGAGTTTGGTGTGAGACATGATAATGTGGTAGTTGGTAAAGAAATTAAATGGGTATTTAAGGAAAATGGAGGTTACTGGCTAATATTCAATAAAGTAAATTTGATACTTATGTTAAAGCATAAAAAAGATTCATAAGAATCTTTTTAAAAGTGCATATTAAATAAGTTATGTTGAAGGTTCATCTTTTGGTATAAAAGATAACATTTGATAGGATATCCATTCTTCAAAATCTGGTTTACTATAATGTAATTAAAAGTAATGAGGTTACATGAAAGGGTTTTGGAATTAATAACAAAAGCATAAGACATTTTTTTTTTTGTAATGCCTTTTTTATTCTTTATGATTTGGACTATATGTTAAAGAAGATGGGACATTTCTTTAGTGATACCCAAATTAATTTCCTAAAATTTATGGGCTTATGAATTATGATGCTCAAACTAAAATTAGTTGTTTGGTTGTGGTTGTGATTTAGTCAATTTGGTTGGCTTGAAATTCTATTATTTCTTTAGCCAAACAATATATATATATATATAACAATAAACATGAAAATTAACCATTGAAATGTAAATAATTTTAATTTTTTGTAAAATTGAATAGTAAATATGTCATGTATTGATTATAATTTCTCACATTTTCATGTCATACTTTAAGTGCATGATATCAACTTTTCATCTTCAAGAGAAATAATTATTTATTCAAAAATATAATTAAATACTTAAAACTAATATACAGACTTAAAATTGACCTATAACAAAGACAATATTAATTGTTAAATAAAACTAATTCCCAAGGCAACTATGTCGCATCATCCTTATCTAACTAAGGGCATCAGGAAGTACTCTGCACACAATAGCTACAAAAAGAAACAAGACATAAATTCAAGATAATGTTCCACTTTGTATTATAAAGAAAGAAAGAAAATAGAGCAAACAATTTGAAAATAAATATACAAATAAATAGGTAATAACTAAAATTATGGTATGTTTTGTATTTCAAATGTCGTTGAATTATTTTTAACCAAAAGATGAATTAGACTCACATATTATTAATTTCATCAACTTAGTCATAGAAATTTATGTTCACAAAAAATAACTTAAATTTAGCTAATTCACCCATCTTATTTTGTAATTTGGTTGAAAATTAGATGTCAATAGAAATCAAATAACCTTATTTGTAAAATTAATAAAAAAAATCAAATAAAAAAATTATTTAAAATAATATATAATCAAGATATTAAACTCCTTGAATGATAAATTGCCTTTAAGATTATTACCTTCCAGGTAAAAAAATAGAAGGCTGCTATGGAGGATTTGCTTTTCAAATCTATAGATTTAGCTTGGTACCAGAGAATTGAAGCAAGAATAGCATGTCCCAAACCCTACAACATTACCACCAAATAAATTTCAAAGGTTACTTTATATAATTTTATATTCACTTATATCAATAAGTAAAACAATAAAGTTAGTATCCTTTAAAGATTAATTTTTAGCCTTGAGACTATTATGAAGACTATAAAGTTAGAATAATCTATTTGACAAAGATAATCTTCATAAGGAAATCTTTCTTTATTTGTTAAGTTTTTTTTTTGTCATATTTCAAGTATAAAATATTAATAAAATTAGCATTTTACACTCCAATAAACTCTATATGAAGACTGGTTAAAAGGGAGAAATGGATTATATTAGGAACTTAGTAAAAAATATTTGTTTTTGCATTTTTTTTTATACATTTTCATCCATTTTATAATCAATAATACAAACTTACTTTTTAGATAATACTTGTTCCTATGAAATTCACTAGTCTTAAAAATTTACTTCTACAAATGAGAAAATAAAATAAAAACCTATAATAATAAATTATATTAATATTAATGTGAAATATGTATAATAAAAGGGAAAAAAATAACTTCTATTATATTGATAATAGATCCCTAATAATAATTATATAAAGAAACAATGCATATGTAAGAAAAATAAGAAAAAAATCCTAGAAGATAATCTAAATCTTTCTAAATTATTCAAGATACAACCAAGACATTATAAGACATTTGCCATATATTCTAACACTAGTTAACCAAAATCACACCTCCATCCTCAATACAAAACAAATAATGTGTTAAGTAGGAGAAGGATATAATTAACATATGATTGTAACCTATATGTAATTAACTTATTACCGTGACAATTTTAGTCCAAACAAAAGGAGAAGTTGTTCCTGCAAGAAGGGCAACTCCAAAGGCCATTTTAAAAAGGGTCATACAAATTTGGAATACCTGAAAAAGATAGTTAGAATCAATCAAGGAATACATAGGAAGACATAACCAATTTTGTTTAGATATATTTAAAGAACATACTCGTTTTTGACCAAAACGTGCTGACAAAGAATAAATGCCAAAGGTTGCATCACCTTCGACGTCAGGTATATCCTATATAAATCCAATAAAAAGCTTTTATATATTAGATGCAAATATAGAATTGATATAAAAAAAAAAAAATGTGTGAGCTAAGATATTAGATGCATTTACCTTACACAATGCTATACCGATAGAGTACAAACTCATGAATGTCACAGAAAAAATCAATGATCTTGGAAAGGTAAGTGGCCTCTTGAACACAAAAGTCTGGACATTATTACATGAATTAGTAATAAAAATATACATGTTGTTTCCTTTCATTTCTCTTAATTAAATTAATAACATGGAAAAGTTAATAGATAATATATCATTCCTAAGATCTAGTGAAAATATACTAATATATACAAAGGGTGGCATCAATTGATAGCTTGTGGCTTGCATGAAACTATTTGTAACTTATTAACTAGTGATTAGTTATAAGTTCTATACTATTTAGGTGAAATGTAAACATATAATTGACATAGCTATATTTCAATATAAATATGCATATCATATATACCAGAACAATAAAAGTGAAGCTTCTTCTTCTATGTGCACAATCAACTTTTCTTTAACTTTCTCACTAACATTTCATGATTCATTTCTAATTAGTGAATTAAAATAATTTATCATGAATCCAAGATAACATCCCTAAAAGCTTCGATAAGGATATGTTACTACTATTAAGTGCACAAAACAAATACATGTTCTCCCAAAATTATAAGACTTTAAAAATCACAATTAATTATAAGACAAAACCTGTAAGTGAAGGAAAGATGAAATTGGAAAAACAATAGTCCAAGTAACGAAAATGCACATTGCAGCAAGTAATGGATGTCCTTTCCATCTCAATAAGGGCACCTGAAAAGTTTCAAAATATTGCTATCACCATCAAACCATTTTTTTAACTAGAGGATTTCTTTACTAGTTTTTGATAAAAACAAAATATTCACTATATCTTTAACTAATAGATCAATTTGCATTAATTAATGAATTTTATTGAGTAAATGCATTTGATTAGAAGAATTTTAAAATAATTAGCATAATGTTTTCTTGTTTTCATACCAAATAAGTGAATTTTGAAATAATGAGTATTATTAAAAAGGAGTTAAATATCTTTTCAGTTCCTAAAATATACATGTTTTTAGTTTTTGATCTCCAATTTTTTTTACTTAACTTGTAGTCTCTATAAAATACTTTTCTTTTGTTTTTAATATTTGTTGTAACATTTTTCATTGTTTTGGATGACGTGTCAAATATCAAGTGGTATAAATTCACTTTAAACAATATCCAAATGTTTGATATATCATCCAAAATAGTCATAAAGGTCATGGCAGAGACTAAACAATTTTGCAGGGACCAAAAATGAAAAAAAAAAACTATATATTTCAAGGACAAAAAAAAATATTTGATGGGTGATTTAAAATTCCATTATTTTAGAAGGTATGGTGAAGATGTCCTAGTCCCAATGAAAAACTTTTAATGAGTGATTAAAATGACCAATGTATCTTCTTTTTTCAAACAAAATAAAATGTTTTCTTTTACTTGCAAAATGTTTAGGTGAGCTTGGTCCCAAGGCCTCACCAAGGACTGGGCAAGCATCAAGACTCTTTGAACCCTTATAGAGGTATTTAAAAATTATCTATCAACAAGGTCCTCACATCGTTGAATCAACATTCTTTTGAGATATGAGTATGTTTCTTACTAATTGCACCAACCTTTGTTGGCACAAAATAAATTGTTTGAGGCTATATGAAAACAAATATTATACATTTAAAGGTGCATATGAACTAACTATCACAAAAACTTAGCTATTGGATGAAAATATAGTGTTTTAAATTACATGTCCAAAAAATACCTTGACACAAAAGCTCTTTGGGTTTGAAGTCTTGAACAATTATTTTTTATACATTTTTTTAATTTTAAAATCCAACTATAATTTTTTTATTATAAGGAAGATGTGATAATGATTAAATTGTAAATCATTTAGTTATAGAAGTTTTGATACAAAGATATCATATCATGAACCAACTATTCCAAAAACATAACTTTGTGTTTTGATAAGTTATATTAAACTTCCAAAGAATCGACAACAAATTTTAAAACTTGAATAATTACTTTAAAGCTCATATATCAAGATTTACTAATTTGGGTCTAAGAAAGGAGACAAAAATATTGGTAGTAAGAAATCAACAAGGATGAAGTTTTGAAAACTAAGAACTATAGTGCCATTGAAGAAATTGGTAATTTACTAGTAAAAATTAATCAATGTGTGAAACAAACATTACAAGGGGAAAAGGATATAACTAACTCATAAAAGATGAGAAGTAAAGAGATAGTAAAACAAATACTAATTTCGATATTGAATGTCAATTTGGTTATGCAAAGAAAAGATGAATATCAAGGAACCCCTAGGAGTGACACTACAACAGAGCCGAGAAAAAGGTGAGTCATCATCAACTATGTGGGTTTAAGGTTCAATTAAAACATTAATCCACCACATCCACAAAAACCACAAACTCTCATTAATTAAAGGAAAACAAAATTGGAAGATGCACATGATACTCGTGGAAATTGAGTTCCTAAATAGTACAATTAATCAATAACCACCATTGGGACCTTCAAACTCATTTAAGAGAAGAAATGTTTCAAATAATCATGAGACTAGTCATCTAGTCTCAACTATTGTAAATAGGAATTGATAGGCTAAGGTCTCAAATAATCTAGGAGTTCTAATATTTTAATAAAAGGTGTTTCATTCAAATTATTGATCCAATTTCTAAAATAGCTTTATTATAAGTAGTCTTATCTTGCATTAGCAAGACATCCTGAACTCATAAACCCCCAAAACAACTCTAATTGGTGCATCATGACTCCTTTTCATAACCTTTACATACTTATATAGGAAAAAAAAAGAACTTTAGATGCAATTTAAATTAAAGAACTTACATTTATTGAATAAGCAATCCATAGGAAACAACACAATAGAAGACCCCAAATCAATGGCCAAGAACCTATAACCCAGCCAAGCAACAAACTCTGTAAAATAATAAAACAACGTTATTTTACTTTCTAAATTAAACTCATCAAGAAAAATATCATTGTAAAATTGACAAATCTTATGGCACCAAAGTTAAACATGATGCAGCAATGATGACACCAGTTGTAAAAGATATTTGTCCAGATGCCAATGGAAGGTATGGTTTGTTTATCTGCAATAATACATAACACAAATCATGATAGTAATAAGGCAAATATACTACACGGTACTTTCTCTAAAAGGTTTGTACACTATAAAAGATTGTATGCTTTTCTCAATCATATCAAAGACTATAATAATTACGAAGTGGTTGATAAACCAAAATATAAAAAGGTGTTTGGTGGTCAACATCATATAAATTCTCAAATTGTTGTGAGTAAATATTCTTGTATAGATGTAGTTTTATATTAGGGATGATAAAATGGGTTTAGCTTGATGGACTCGCTTGCTAACCTTAAAAAAATGACAAATCAAGCTAGGTGGTCCAACTCGCTAGTTGGTCATAGCTCGCTCCACCTAACACGTCAATCCAACGACGGATTGGTGGATCAGGGGCAGGTCAACTCGCCCTTTTTTTATTAAAAAATTATATTTAAAATTTAAGTTTAACGTTTGCATGATATAATTCTTTAAAGATTTTAATGTTCTTAAAAAAATTAAACTATATGTTTGTTATTCTTGTTAATTTACTTTATAAATTTAATTTCTCTTATACTAATAAAAAAAACTAATATTCAAATGAAATTTAGAATAAATTAATAATATATTTTACATCTTTCAAGTAAATTTGTTTATTTAAAATAATTTTACAAAATAAATAGTTATTTTTCTTTTTCCTTTTTTCTTGACATTTGTTTTAAAAAAATTTGTGGACTAAGCTATTGTCCCACTTTTGACAGACGAACGATAAATCAGACTATCCCATTTTCTCATCCTACTTTTTATGTTTCTAAATATCCGACTTTAGATAAATCAAACAACAATTTGATGACTATCATATTTTTATTGGAATAATAAAAAGTCTAAAAGTTATAAATGGTAGTTTATTATTTATCTATATTATTCATTTCTAATTAATAATAAGTTGCGTACCTTGTCTATTTCAAGATCAGTCAATTGATTCATACCAGCAACAAAAATACCCATAAACAAGTGAGGTACTGCTACCTAAAACAGTTTAAAATCACAAAGGTATCAATGAATGTATAGGTAGGTGCCATTTGGCTACTAAAGAAGAATACATATTGGGGTCTCACCTGTAACACGCCAATAAAAAATAATGGAGATATATCCGATAATTTCTCCACAGCAAGAAGAGATGCAGAAATGATGCCTAATGTCTGTCAAGAGTAAAATAAGATTGATTCGTTTAAAAATCCAATATATTACTATTAAAAAATAGAATTAAGTAAATTAATTAAGTGTGAATCATAAGATTTGAGGATTATTTATGATAGTAATACTAGAAAACTTTGAACTTACCTGGGTAGTCATTGCATATGGACTTGTAAACATGAAGACAGCAGCCAAGAATTCTTTGACAAAGTGCAAAATATTTTTGGGAGAAGAAGCATGAGGTTCAGAATCAAAATATGATCTAGATGTTACTTTCGCAACATATTTTTCATTGCCTTCTTGATATGTAGACCCTTCCAAAATGCATTTGTAATTATGGTTCAAAATTGGTTGTTGGAACCTCAGATAATTATTCTTTTGATATTTTCTTTGGTGTTGTGATATTTTCGACGGATAAGAACCTAGAATACCAAATGTTAGAAGTAGTATAAGTTGTCATGGACAATAGAAAGTATGAATATTCTTGTTAAATTTATTGCAACATGGATCACGACAAGACAATCAATGGAGAAAGAATAATCAATTTCTAAACTAAAATTAGAGAAGTCAACGCTAAAATTAATTTTATTGAAGAAAACATTAAGAAAAATAATTTGAAAATTAGTAAGCAGAGTCACTGGGTTCATTTACACTTGGAAATCTATCAGTGGTTTACGTTGTCCATTATAAATCAAAATACGGTTTTTATTATGCTCCATTAACAAGGATAATAAATTTGTTTTGATTTTTCCTAATTTAGGTTGTTGCATTTTTTTTTTCATTGAGCAAAATACATGTTTGTTACATTCTTTTGGATTTTGTAAATACGGAGAATTAAAAGAAATTATATTTTAAAATAGAGTATATTTTATTACTTATAGATAAAAGTATTACATTATCATTATCTCTTAATTAAAATATATAAATTAGTTCATTTACTTATCATTATCAATGTGAATTATATTCTCTTCCTATGTATTATATTTTTTTTTTTTATATTAAAATATAGAATAAATTAGACTTTTATCTCTTAGAGATGTAAGTATGATATATTATCATTCTCGTATTGTATTAAAATATATGATATAATTTAGAGTAGTTAACTTAACAATGTTGTTAATTCGTTATAAAATTTTAAAATATACTTTTAATTAAAATACATGTTAAAATATTTTTAGCTAAATAATATTCATTTACTTGATAAAAAAATTATAAAATATATAATTAAATTTGAATAAAATATATTAAAATAATAAACAAAAAAATTATATGTATACTTATATATACATATATATAATATATAAATTAACGCACACACATAAAATTGATTAAAATAATAATAAATTGAAAAGTTATATGTGTACTTAAATATTATAACACACACGTATTAAGTATTATAATAATTATGTTTTATTCAAATACTATAATAATCATTCGAAAAATTGTGTTTAATATTTATATTTTAATATTATATTTATAAATGTGATAAATAATACTTTATAAAAAAAACACAACATTATCTATATTTATTAAAGTATTTAAATAATAACATCAATTAAACAAGAATTCAATACTTAATTTTATTATATAATTAATTAATATTATACAATAAAAATACAATTTCATTTAATTATTTATAAAAATATTACATTAAATATATTAATTAATTAATTAGTATCTTAATACTTGTGTTATATTTCATTATACTTTTATATATGACTTTAAAAGTATTTAAGAAAATAATTAATAATTAAAAATATTTCTGTTATATATATATATATATATATATATATATATATTTAATTTTATCAAAATTCATAATAATTTTAAAATAATAATTAAATATGTAAATCAAACTTTTGAAATGTAATATTTGTATTTGTTAAGAAAGGAAAGTGTTTATTTAAAAAAAAAAAAAAAAAAAAGAGAATAAAGTAATATTTACATTTCTAGGGATGTTAGTGTTAGTGTAAGGATGTATGGTCTATAACGGAATTTCACTTTAACATAGAGTTTAAAAATAGATAAAGTATTGAATATCGAAATCTATCAAAGAAAAATTGTAATTTTTAACAAAAAAAAAAGGAAAATAATGTAATAGCATACAACACATTCTAACACTTTATTTTTTGTTTCAATTAAATTATTTAAGAAATTTTATTAATCATCGTACACAGTTAATTAAGGATGACAATTCTAACTAGATTTCAGGTGTACTCGCAAAATATCCACAATAAATAAAGTAAATACTTACTAAATGAGGATAGATAAAAAAGTATATATATTTAATCACAAAATTGAATGAGAATGAGAGGTGTGTATTACTGTTAAATTAAAAGTTTTTAATTTATTAAATTTATAAATTTTTTTAAGATTTTAAAAATTATATAATATTTTTAAAAGAAAATTAAAAATCTTATAATATATAATTTTAAATTAAAATATAAAATATTTTTATAATTATCCATCAATTTAAATTATTGAAATAAATAATTAAATAATTTTTAAATATTTTAAAAAATAGTAGACTTATCTATATATAAAAAACTTTATTTAAACGGTTGAATTGATAAAAAAAAAAATATTAATTATTATTATGACTTATTATTCATCTATCTATACCACTAAAATTTTGCGGCTAAGTGAGAAAGGATTTTACTTTTCCAACATCCATCTACCAACCATCCATGTTTTCAACCTTTTCATGTTGATTAGTTTACTTTATTACTCTGATCCAAAAAGCGACTCTTTTATTATTCAATTCAAAGTCAATATTTGCGAAGTAAAAGAACAAGGTAATATTGGTCAAACCATAAAGGGTATAATGTGATTAATTAATTATGCTACGTACTAATAATACCTTTCATGTGGGAGATCGATAGATAAGTAATAACTAATTATAGTAAATGATATGAGACACATACTTGGATAGTAAATATTCTTGATGGAATGCTTACTCCGCCAGAGATCATTTCCACCTACACTTACCCATGGTCTCATTTTAGCGATCAGCAAATAATTTTGTGATGAAAAATGGACCAAATATGCAAAGATTGGAACCAAAAAAATGCATGAAAGTGAAGGAAAAAGTAATAGGTGATTTGAAAGCAAAAACATGCAAGTACCATTTGTGACTGAAGCGACAATAGGAGAAGATGTAAAACGCAATGAGTCCATGGAAACTGAACCACGACAACACAAAGCAGTTGCTATAGAAAGGAAAAGCACAAACTCGTGTTGTGTGGAGACGAGGAGAGGAAGAGAGAATTTATAGTACATATGTGTACTTGAATAAGATTAATTTGTTTGTTACCCAGAAATTGATACACGTCATGGCACATTCTCACTAAGCAAATTGCAACATAATAATGATGTAAAAGAAACGTCAGAAGAAACTAGATCAAACAATAAAAAATATATGAAATCAACATCGGTGGCGCCGAAATTGGGGACCGTGGACTTGTTTCATTACGTGATCATTTCATTAATGAATTATTGTTTATCTCATGTCAACGGCGTTTTTATATGAATGCAGTAATAGTACGGGTATTTGTCGTAAGCATCCATTAATTAAAGCAATGCAAGAGCAAGACACTTAAGTTTTCAAGTTGATGAATTGAACCTTCGTTTCAAAAATTGGACTGGATCAAACTAGCGGGTTTAACACAAAAAAATTATTGACAGAATCGACCCATTTTACAATCTAAAATAATCACATGATCAGCTAGAATTGAAAAAGAAAAATTACTAAGAAACAAAAATTGGTCAAAAGCCCGCAAAAAAAAAAAAAAAAAAAAGAAGAAGAAATCGATTCACAATTTGTCAACAAATATTGTTTACGACATATAAAGGCTAAATAACGAAAATATATGGATTTTGTTAGAATAGTATTGATAGTTTTCAAATGTACATACATATTTTATTCAATTTAGATAATTATTAATATATATTATATTTTTAAATCTTATTTTTTTATCATAAAATATTTAGTCAAGCGATAATTTTATTTTAGAATTTAATTATTTAAATATTAGGTTTTTTTTTATGTTTTTCTTTGTTGAAATATCACATGGAGAAAATAATTTGGAAAGTTACAAGTTTCGAGGAACCATCGCTCAAAGTTGTATACAATTATTGCTCTAAACTATGATAATTTGCAATTTGCTCTAAGGGAGCCAAGGTAGAGAGTAATCCTAAAACCATATACATGGTCGTTCAGAGTGAGTTATAAGGGTACTCTAAGTGAGAAGATTTTCAAAGTTACCACAAATTCATTTTGAATGAGTAAAGGCAAAGAGCACCTTTTGGATGCACTTACATGGTCGCTCAAAGCGAGCAACATGTGCCTTCTAAGCGACTAGATCATACATAAAAGTGCATAGAAATTATTATAAATTTAGGATTTCTAGAGGTCTTGTATAAAACATTCTTCTTAGCACAATTCTAGATATATTAAAAAGAGTTTCTATGAGACCATTATTATAATCACGAACCGCTCGAAGGCCCTTCTAGTGTTATAATCCTTAGTCATTAGTGGTTAAATTTACTACTGTTAGAGATGAGGTAATTACTTGAACCCTGTAATTTTCTTGTTTTCATTTAATAAAGTATTTATGCAGTTAATCATTTTATTATTATACTTAATGCCTGTTGTGACTTGATCAACTTCTTCATGATCTTATAATTTTTAATTGAGGTTGGAAAACCATTTTTAAAACAACCACCTAAATAAAACATTGATGACATTTATTAGTAAGGAATTGAGATAAACTTCACAGTACAAGAAATATTACATATAGTGACATACAAAAAATGTCACTATAAGTACAATATATATAGGTATATGTCTATTTGACATATAGTTACACACAATTTTAGTGTTGATTTTAAATGAGATTTAACAATATATTTTGTATGTCATTATAACCTATACTCACACTTTTTAATAATATACCAACATATATTGTAGTTATTGTGTGGGTAAAAGTAATTTTTAGTGACATGTATAGTGTCACTATAGGATATATGTCACTTATAGGGCAATTTTCTTGTAGTGTCATCAGTTGACTTTCGGTCCTTGACCTTAATGCAAGATTGTTTAACAAAAGTTACTAAAGAATTAGAATTTTTCTTACACAATCAAGAATCTCTCACCTAAAGAATTAGTATTTAAATACAATTGCAAGTTGTCAAATTAATTGTATAATTACAATGTTGAATGAAAAATAATGAGATTTTGCATAAGGATAGTTATTGAATCAATTTCCAATGATTCTTATTATAAATTCTATTTTATCACAATTTACTGTTTTATTACATTTCTACTGTGTTTAAATATTTCTTGCTAAATAATTTGAATTTTTTTATTAAATTACTTATTTAATATAAAAATTATATTAAGCAATTATAAATCCAAATTCCTATGGATTCGAGTCTTGGATTTATTTCTTTTTTACTATTATGAAAATTGATATACTTTTAAAATGTGTATCAAGTATGGATTAGTTCTTTGTTATGCTATATAAGATATGTGAATAATTATATGCTTAAGCGTATTGAATATATATGTGTGTTTTTCATGTTTTTATATAAACATCTATCTGATGTATGACAACCAATTCATGGTATGATTTGGATCATAGATATATTTACATCCATCATGAATTTCATACGATGAGTGAAAATTGAAGGCCTTGAGACCCGATTGGAATTCGATGATAACTTGTATGAGGTTGATATGGAGCTTAGTACTCTCTTAGATTTATCTGTATACTTTTATATTTGTTCTTGTGTTGTACGTTGAAGTGAGATAAATTTTAAGTTCGTTCCATAGAGACGAGAATGAAAGTATAATACCTCATTCCATAAATCTTGAAAGAAATAATTATTCATCACAAAAATATAACTAAAAACTTAAAACTATTGTACAAATTCAAAGTTGGCCGGTCACAAAGGGAATGTCATTTAAATAAAATTAATTTCTATGTCGATTATATTGCATCGTCTTTATCTAACTAAAGGCATAAGGAAATATTCTGCGCACAATAGCTACAAAAAGAAACAAGATATTAATTTAAGATAATATATATTTGCTTTATACAAAAAAGAAAAACAACATAGTAGAAATAAATTGAAAATTAATATATAAATAAGTAATCATTCACATTGTGGTATGTATTTTGCTTAAAATGGTGTCGATTTTTATACCAAAAGATGAAATTAGACTTGTGTATGATTAAGTTCATCAATTTAGTCATAGAAATTCATGTTCACAAAAAAATAAGTTCAATGTAGCTAATTCAAGCCTCATATATTTTATATTTTGGTTGGAAATTAGAAATCAGACAACCTTATTTCAGAAATAGAAAAAAATAATCAAATAACTTTCTTTTAAATAATAGTTTTAATATTAAACACCTCGAATGATAAATTATATTTAAACTTATTACCTTCCAGATTAGCATATAGAAGGATGCTACAGAAGATTTGCTTCTCGTATCTATAGATTTGGCTTGGTACCAGAGAACAGAAGCAAGAATAGCATGTCCCAGGGCCTAAAACATTAGCACCATATAAATTTTAAGCATTACTTTAAACAAGTTTATATTCACTTGTATGGAAAACAATGAACCTATTTTTTTCTTTTAAAAGAATGTATCCTTAATGATTACTTTTTACCCTTAAAGTTATTATTAAGACTATAAAATTAGAATAATCTATTTGAGAAAGAAAAACTTTCTAAAAAAATCATATTTATTTGTTAAGATGTCTACCATATGTAAATAGAAAATATTAAACAACAACATTGTTTTACACTCCAATAAACTCTACATGAAGATTGATTAAAGGTGGAAAGAAATTATAACTTGAGAACTTAGTAGAGAATGTTTGCTTTTGCATTTTTTATTTATATTTTTTTTCTATTTTCTAACAATTAATACAAACTCACTTGCTAGATAGTGATAATTCCTATCAAACTCACGAGTCTAAAGAATTTTCTTATACAAATGAGAGAAAATAAAATGTAACACTTATAATAATAAACTATATTAGTATTGATGTGAAAGATGTGTCCTTATTAATTAAATAAAGAAACAATTCAAAATATGTAAGAAAAATAAGAAAACTACTTCTAAGAGATAATCTAAGTCTTTCTAAATTACTTAAGATTTACCAAGATATTATAAGACATTTGACATATACTCTAACACTTGCTAATCAAAATCACACCTCTATTCTCAGTACAACACAAATAATGTATTGAGTGAAAGAATTATATAATAAACCTATATTTGCAACCTATATATGTAGTAACAATATTACCGTGAAAATTTTAATCCAAAGAGAAGGAGATGTTGCTCCAGCCAAGAAGGCAACTCCAAAAGCCATTTTAAAAAGTGAAACACAAATTTGAAATACCTGACAAAGAATAATTAGGAACAACCAAGGGATATATAGAAAGGCATAAACAATTTTGTTGAGATGTATAAATAACATACCCGTTTCTGACCTAAACGTGCTGAAAAAGAATAGATACCAAACGTTGCATCTCCTTCTACGTCAGGTATATCCTATATAAATTCAATAAAAAAAAGTTTTATATATATTATATACACATTTGAATTGATATTGTAAACAAGTGTATGTGTTAAGAATTTAGAGGTATTTACCTTGCATAATGCTATACCTATAGAGTACAAACTCATGAATGTAACAACAAAAACCAATGATCTTGGAAAGATAGGTGGCCTCTTGAACACAAAAGTCTGTATATTGTTACATGAATTAGTAATTAAAACAAAATACATTGGTTCCTTTCACTTATATTAATTGAATTAATAACTTGGAGTGAATATTAGAGAATATATCATTGCTAAGACTATCTAGTAAAAATATATTAATACATGTAGACAATAGTCTTAGTTGATAGGTTTTGACTTGCATTAAATTATTTGTAACTTATTAACTAGTATAGTTATAGGCTCTCTATTATTCATGTGAGATGTACGGTATGTTTGGATAAATTTCTCCAAAAGCACTTGTGGAAGAAAAAATATAAGAAGGAAAATTGAAATAAACTTCTTCATAAAATAAAAGTAACTTATACGTAAATTAAAAACAAGATTTTAGAGAAGTTAATAGAAAAGAGTTTCTACAAATTAACTTATTTAAATCTAATTTTAGCTTATAGAAAAATATTTCATTTTTCCTTCCTATTTTTCTCTTTTAGAAGTGTTTCTAGGAAGTTTACTCAAACAAACTCATAGGTAACATAACTATATTATAATAAATGTGCATATCATACTAGAGCGCAAAAGTGAAGATAATTTTTCTTTGAACACAATCAACTTTTCTTTTTAACTTTCTCAATTACATTTCATGATTCAATTCTAACTAATGAATTAAAATATTTTATCATGAATCCAACAAAGCAACTCTAAAAGCATATTACTGTTATTACGTGCATAAAAGATAAAGCATGTTCCCCTAAATAAGACTTTAAAAATCACAATTAGCTATAAGACAACACCTGCAAGTGAAGAAAAGATGAAATTGGAAAAATAATAGCCCAAGTAGCAAAAATGCACATTGCTGCAAGTAATGGATGTCTTTTCCATCTCAATAGAGGCACCTGAAAAGTTTCAAAATATTACTATCACTATCAAACATTTTTTTTCAAAAGAAAAATTCTATATTAGTATTTTTTATATAGAAAATATTTATGTACATTTATCTAATACCTCAATTTACATTTGAGTAATGAAATGTTGATGTGTAAATGCATTTGATATCAAAGGATTTTAAATTGTTAGCATAAAATTGCATGCTAAATAAGTGAAATTGAAAATAATGAGTAATTTCATGATATAATATTTTTAACTCAAAATATGAGATTTCAGATTCTTTTTTCACTTCTTTTTTCAGAAAGTATTGTGGACACATTTGATTTTAAAGGAAAAATTTTTATGAGTGATTAAATGACCAATGTATTTCCTTATCCAAACAAAATAAAATATTTGAGACCATAGAAAAATAAATGTTATATATTTAAAGATGGATATGAACTAACAGTTGGGATGCAAGTAAATTTCCACATCATTCAAACAAGAGAATAGATATGGGTTTATATATACACAATTGTCTTTATTGGTAGAGAGACCTTTTAGATGATGTTCAAAAGCAAAATCGTGAGAGTTTGGACCCAAAACGGACAATATCTTACCAATGTGCAGACATGTGTATGTGTATGGTAATTCCAGTGCACAACACTAAATATCCTAAAAACTTATCGAGTTATTTGGTGACTGGATATTATAAATTATATGTCCAAAAACAATATTTAAACAAAGTCCCTTTGGTTTGAAGTGTTGATCAATGCTTTTTATATATTTTTTCCGCTCTAAAATCCAACTTTTTTTAACTATAAGGAGGATGTGCAAAAAAAAATTGTAGAACATTTAATAATAGAAACTTTTAATACAATGATATCATGTCATCAACCAACTATTTCATAAATACAACTTTGTGTTCAAATAAGTTACATTAAACTTCCAAAAAAAATTGAATACAAAAAATTATATTGTTATATTTTTATTACTTTTATTTGCGAGAAAAATCAACATCATATAGTCAACATTACAATTATATAAAAAGTAACCAACAGATAGTCAATGTGTAAAAATATTTATATAAATTAAAAAGCATTAATAATTATTTTATTCATTTACTAAAAGTTTATTATATAAAATCATTATTATTGCTAAAAATGAATCTTATTTAATTAAACAAAAACCTCATTTAACTTAATTTATCTAAAATTTGTTTAACTTAAGTCAATCCAAGAACTCATTACTCATAACATAAATGTTAAGGAATTAAAAATAATGTAACAATAAAAATTCACCTTATATAATTGATGTGAATTTCATTTTTAAATTAGGATGCTCTTTTTAATGTGGCGTTGATTCAAATAAAATTGAGTTCAGATTCTTTATGGATTGAAAATTTGTAGTTAGGAATAAAAATGTCACTAAAGGTTCTCATCAACTAAGTTTCTTGATAAAAAATAATAATAAGCAAAGTTGATAAATATATCATACCAATGACTTAATTACTAAAAATAAAAAAAACTAAGTCACTCTCTAATACAATTGCCTTATTTAATCACGGACTTTAAAAATAAATTCTATAGTGCATATTTTCTTTTTAAGTCTAATACTATAATATGTTAAATTCAAAATTTTAATACTTATATATATATATATATATATATATCAAAATAATAGGATGATAATATTTAAAGTGATTAACTCATTATGGAGAGTGAAGTAAATTATGTAAGATATTCATCGTACATTTGTACATAATATCTATGGATAATTTTAATTACATATTTTCTAGAATTGTTTACATAAGAGGAATTTAATCTTTGATAATTATAGTCCTTGATAATAAATTATATAAAAGAGCACTATACTACTAATTATAATCTTTATTTTTTTTAATTCAAACTTCAAATTCTCATCAAATATAATCTTGAAAAAATTGTGTAGTTAATGGATGTGAATAAATTTTTGAATTCTATAGGTTTGATGTTATATATGATTTTTTTAAGCATTGGTATGATGTAGATATTATGTAATTAGCTTCAAGCTTTGCACATGTTGTAATTAAAAGTTTTGAAATGCTTTTACTTTCAACTTAATAAATTTCATCTAAGTTAAATAACTATTCATATAATTAAGAAACTATTTCATGTTTTAAATTATTATTGTGGCATTTTATACATTACTATTATATAATCAATTCGATCATGATTTTTATGGTGATAAATTATGAGATTTCTCTAAAGTTAAAGTGAAAGGACTATGGAAGAATTGAAGATCTTGGAGACTTCAAGTTATGTAACATCTATAATACTTGAATAATTACTTAATTTGAAGCTCATATATCTAGATTTACTAGTTTAGGTGTATGAAAGGAAGAAAAAGTCTTGGAATTAAGAAATAAATGAGGATGAACTTTTTATAACTAACAACTATAGTTGTAAGGAAGAAATTGTTAATATCAAGGCAAAATCAACATGAGAAACTGTTGGAATATAAGAAAAGTCCCACATTGTTCAAACAAGAGAATGAACATGAGTTTATATTCACATAATTTTCTTCATTAGTTATAGGCCTTTTGGATAATGTTTAAAACCAAAATTATGAGGACTTAAGCTCAAAACAGATAATATGTTACCAATGTAGAGACATGTGTATAAGTGTAACCCTCGAGTGCACAACAAGTGATATTAGAGTCAATGATCGACTAGGTAACCAACTTGGTGGGTATGATGGAGTTGGCAAATGGATTTGAGTATAAGATTTCTTGTATCAAAAGTTTTCTTAACAGTAGATCCATGTGTGTAAGAGAGTCTTTCTGATAACATGGAGGGTTAGGAGGCATATCCTGCTACCATGAGTTAATGATGGAGAGATGATGCAAGTACTTAGAGTGTGAATGAGCTCTATGAACCACCATAGGATATACTTGTGAACTGATAGCTTCTACTACAAAAAGACATAAACCATGATCCTTTGTTTAATAGGAGGATTGTTAGGATACAACCAAAGTCCTAAATCGTTCAAATAAGAGCATAGTCATTGATTTATATACACAATTGTCTTTATTTGTTAGAGGCCTTTTGGGTGATATCCGAAAGCAAAATCGTGAGGACTTAGGCCCAAAGTGAACAATATCTTATCATTATAGAGACATGTATCCGTAAAAAACCCCCTTAGTGTAAAACAAAAACAAATATTATAGTGGTAAGAATTTACAATCAATTCATAAAAGATGAGAAATAAGGAAACACTATAACAAAAACTTTGGATACTAAATGACAATTTTGCTAAGAAAAGATGGAAAATAAGAAACCCTTAGGGATGACAAAGAAAGAGATGCAAGAAAAAGATTGCATCATAAGGTTGAACCAAAACATTAATCCCATCACCTCCTCCAAAACTACAAACTCCCATTAATTAGAAACAAAGTTCGAAGAAGCACATGATAGCCATAGAATTTGAGTTCTTCGATAGTAACAACCATTTGAACCTTCATACTTATTGTGCATTGGGGGCTACCACACCTACTTGTCTCCACATTGGTAAGATATTATCCACTTTGGGTCTAAACCCTCATGGTTTTTGTTTTTGAACATCACCTAAAAGGTCTCTCACCAATGGAGACTTTGTGCATATATAAACATATGTTCATCATTTTATTTGAACGATGTGGGAGTTTGATTGAACCCCAACATTTCTTTCCTCAAACAAAGGACCATAGTTTACCCCCTTTTGCAGCAAAAGCTATATATCAATCCAGCAGTATATCCGATGGTGGTCCATACAGTTCAATCATGCTCTAAGTACTTGCATCGCCACTCCATCGTTTAACTCATGATAGTGAGACACATCTTCTAACCCTCCATGCTACTAGGACGACCTTCTTCCATATGTAAACTCACCATTAGGAAGACTTTCAATACAAAGAATTTTATACCTGGATCCATTTGCCGACTCCATCATACTTGTCAAACTGGTTAATTGGTCGATTGGCTCTAATACTACTTGTTGTGCATTAGGGGTTATGACACATATTTATCTCTATATTAGTAAGATATTGTTCACTTTGTGTCTAAACCCTCATGATTTTAGATACCCCCAAAAGGTCTCTCACTAATGGAGATTTTGTGTGTATGTGTGTGTATATATATATATACACATCCATGTTCATCCTCTTATTTGAACGATGTGAGACTTTGATTGAATTCCAACAATACTCAAATTTAAGAAAAGAAATGTCTCAAATAGTCATGAGACAACTCATCTAGTATCAACTATTGTAAATGGAAATTGAGAGGATGAGTTTTCTCAAATAAGCTAGGGGTTCCAATATATTATTTCATTCAATAAAAATTAAAATATTTTATTTCAACTAATTGATCTAACTTTTATTATGGCTTCACTATTAGCCTTATCTTGTATTTGCAAGATGTCTTTGAACCCATAACCCCAACAAAAATTCTAATAGGTGCAACACGACACCCTTTTATAACCTTTATATGCTTATGTCTTAAACATTATAAAGGGAAAAAAATAACTTTCGATGCAACTTAAATTAAAGAACTCACATTGATTGAATAAGCAGTCCATAGAAAACAACACAATAAAAGACCCCAAATCAATGGCCAAGAACCTATAGTCCAACCAAGCCAAAAACTCTGTAAAAGAGAGTAAAATAATAAGTCTTCTTTTACTTTCTCTCCTAAGTTCATCTAGAAAAATGTAAATGTAAAATGGACAAATTTTATGGTACCAAAGTTAAACATGATGTAGCAATAATGACTCCAGTTGTAAAAGATATTTCTCTAGATGCCAATGGAAGATATGGTTTATTTATCTGCAATAAAAACATGTGACATTAATGATTAATCAAACAACTATATGGTATTTCCTTTGAATGGTTTGTAAATTATGAAAGGTTGCATTTTTTTTCAATCATACCAAAAGTTATAATAATTAGAGACACATGATAAATTGAAATATAAAAAAGGAGTTTGATGGTCGATTAACATCATGTAAATTACTCAAATTGTTGTGTGAGTAAATACTATTGTATAATATAGTCTTTTATGTTTCTAAATAAATATCCAACTTTAGATAAATTAGACAATAATTTTATCACTATCATATTTTTATTGGAATAAGAGAAATGCTTAAAAGACTTATAAAGAGTAATTTATAATTGATCTACATCATTTATTTCTAATTAATAATAAGTGTCATACCTTATCTATTTCAAGATCACACAATTGATTTATACCAGCAATGAAAATACACATAAAAAAGTGAGGTACCGCTACCTGAAACATTTTAAAAATACAAAAATTTATTGATGAATTTAAGGAGCATATATATGCAATTGGCTATTTAAAAAGAAATACATATTTGGGGTCTCACCTGTAACACACCAATAAAAAACAATGGAGATATATCTGATAATTTCTCTACCACAAGGAGAGATGCAGAAATGATGCTTAATGTCTGTAGAAAGAAAAATAAAATTTACCCATTTAAAATATCTAGTATATTACTATTACACATAAAAAATTGTTCATACAAATTAAGTAAATTAAGTGTTAATCATAACATTTGAGATCATTTATGAGAGTGATATTTACTAGAAAACTTTGAACTTACTTGGGCAGTCAGGGCATAGGGACTGGAAAACATGAAGAAAGCAACCAAGAATTTTTTGACAATGTCAAAAATTCTTTTGGAATAAGAAGCACGAGATTCTGAATCAGAATATGGTGTAGATGCAACTTTCGCAACATATTTCTCGTTGCGTTTTTTATATGTAGACCGTTCTCCAATGCATTTGTAACGATGGTTCAAAGTTGGTTGTCGTAACCTCGAATATTTGTATTCAAAATGAGGTTTTCTTATACGTTGTGATATTTTTGATGTATAAGAACCTAGAGCACCAAATGTTAGTAGTATAAGTGATCATACGAAATAAAAAGTATATTCTTGTTTTAAAATTATTGTAACATGAATCACGACGACAAGACAAGTTGTGAAAGAATAATCGGTTTTAAAATTGAAATTAGAAAAATCACGACTAAAATTTACTGTTAAAGAAAATGTTAAAAAAAATTTGGAAATTAGCAAACACAGTCAAATTTAGGATTCATTTACATTTATGAAAGTGTAGTAGTTTATGATGTCTATTATAAATTAAAATGCGTTTAAAACATTATGCATTATTAGTATAAAAAGTTAACAAATTTAATACATGTAAATTGTGATTAGTCGACACTATAAAATTATTTTAAATTTTCATTGTATCACCATTAAAAACAATTGACGCATGATTTTAATTTTGCTCTATTAAGAAGGACAATATGTTGGTTTTGATTTTCCTACTTTCGTTTATCACATTCTTTTGGATTTTGTAAATTTGGATAATTAAAATAAAATGATATTTTAAAATTGATGGAATTTTTCTAAAGAATTAATTTTAGCGCGTGACAGGTATTGTTATTGTGCACGAGTTTCCTTATGTTCTCGAACATTAAAATCACATAGTCCATACACAACGATTGTTTGGTTGATTAATTTTAACTTTCAAAAAATCTTTGAATAAATATTTTTTTGGAAAGATGACTATAAATTTGAAATGAAATTCGATAAGAGATTTTAATGGAGTAATTTTTTTTTTTGTGAAATTTTAAATGTTTTAGAGTAAAATGTTTTATTTGGATGAAGAATTTAAAAAGAATTTGAAATTCAAGCATTTATAAAATTCTTTAAGATGTAGAATTTCAAATTCTCTAAAAAAAAGTAAGAATTTCAAATTCAGGGTTTATGTGAGGTCTTGAATTTAGAGAGAAGAATTCTAAAGAGAAAGACTCTGGTCCGTGAGCTCTTTTCCTCTTAATCTTCTTCTCCTTTTTGTCCCTATTTCTCTTTTAAGTGGTGTTTTGTGATTCAGGTAGTGGAAACCTCGAATCAAGCTGTTGAATTTGTGCAGAGCCAATTGTTCTTCATCTTCTACCTTGGCGTAGCTCGGAGTTCTTCGATTTCACTTTTTTTCGAGGTAAGAGAAGCTGGAATTTGGGATTTTAGGTTGAAATGTGGAGTTGAGGAATGAATTAAAGGTTCATTGATGGTAGAATCATGAAATATGCAACTATGGGGATGGATTGAAGGGGTTTTAGTTTGAAATTGGGGGTTTTGTTGTTCTTGATGTGAGATTAAAATGTGATAATTTCTTTGAGCTGTCATGGATGTGTGTTGCTTTTCTTGTGAATTCTGAGTTATATATTGTTGGGGTTGAAAGATTTTGGGGTTGCATGCTTTGATCATTGCATGGGTTTAGAGGGTTTGGAGGTTAAGTTGTTCATCTGCATGTATGAGTTTTTGGGTTTAGGACGTTGAGAGTGAGTTTTCACGCTTAGTGTGAAGATTTGGAAGTGCTGTCAAAAATCTAAGGCTAAGGGTGAGATTCTACGCTGAGTGTGAGAGTGACTTGTGCCTTTGGAAGGCTGACGCTAAGCGTGAGAGTGAGTTGTGCCTCTAGAATGTTGACACTAAGCGTAAGAACTGAGTTGTGCCTCTCAAAGGCTGAGGTTGAGAATGAGTTTTTGCGTTGAGCGTGGGGACTTAGTCAAATAAATTTCTTTTCTAAATGAGTTGGTTGCTTGCTTGATGAATGAGTTGTAGTTGAAAGCTTGTTGTTTGAGTGTATTATTGTTAAATGATGATGAATAAGTTGTAGAGATGTTGTATGATAAGGAAATTTGTGTGTTGAATGTTGATAAGTTGTATGTAGGTAATTGTGTTGAGAGTTATTAGTTGCAAGTTGAGTTGAGTAGTATATTATGAAGTTGTGCATCTATGTTGGGATACTATATGAATAATGTTGATGTGTCATTGAGATGAATGATGAGTAAGAAGTTGAATATGAGTAGTGATGATGAAGATATGAGTTGTGTGTTGATTATTTTGAAAATATAATGAGTTGTTGTATTGATTGAGTTGTGTTGACCACTTAGAACTAGATGAGATGTTTTTGAAAGTCACCTATCCCATTGTGTGGATAGAGTGTTGTTGTATTTTGAGAGTCCAATTTGTTGAAAACCCTTCTTGGGAAGATGACCCTTGAAGTGGATGTTGTATTGTTTCTCCTCTAGGACTTTGTTGGTACCATGTGTGGGTAAGGTCAAGGCGCACATGTATGAAGCGACCACGGTATAAGGGTTAGGTCGAGCTATACTGATTACAAGTGATCAACCAAGTAAAATACGAAGTCAGAAACTTAGTTCCTAACTGAGTATCGAAAGGTTGTAGTATTTAGAGAATAGTCGGTAGGCTAATTCTATAGGAGGCTTAGTTAAGCTAACTAATGTCGTGGTAGACCTGTACTTAGTTGTTCTATCCTGACATTAGTACTACACTTCCTTATTTAAGTGGTAACATCCCAAAAACCAAGTTGTTGTGTTGTGGATTTTTATCTAATTTGTTGTTGATCTAGCAAGCCCAAAAAGATCATCCTGTGTTGTTGGTTCGGTACGACCAAACCGCTTAAACTACTCACCCGTGTTGTAGGAGATCTCCTAGTTGAAATGTGTGATGACGCATATGAGTTATTTTTAGTTCGATAGGACCAAACCACTTAAACTACTCACCATGTGTTGTTAGTTCGGTAGGATCAAACTGCTTAAACTACTCACCCTATGTTGTAAGAGATCTCATAGTTGGAATGCATGACAATATATGAGTTGTTGTGTTGAATTTATGAGATGTGTTAAGTTGGTTGTGCTGTTTATATGCTATGTTGATTTGAGATGATCAATGATATTGTGTTGATTTAGAGTTGTGCTATATATGTTAATTTGTGATGTATATTGTATTGTTTTGGTACTATGTTGTTAAAGTTGAAATGATGATGATGTGATGTTTTTATGCAGTAATTATGTTGTGTCATTTTTACTCTAACTTACCCTTCCGTGTTTTCATGTAATTTGGAAAGCAATGATCATACGTGATATGGGAGTAGGGTAGGGATAGGGCTACAATGTTTACAGTGGAGGCTAGCTAGACAATGGCGTATGAGCCGGATATTTTGATTTTTGATGACTACTTGTTAATGGTAGATTTATATAGATAGTTTGAAGTATGCTTGTTTGGCAACTAAGTTATATATTTTTTATTCACAACTATAGGATTATTGTATTATATTGCTCATATTAGAATATTTGTTTCATCTTTATAGGTATGTGATATGTACATATTCTAGTTTATGTGAGTACATGATCAAGTAGTTGTGCCGTTTAGTATAAGAACCATAATGGATCTTTACAGTTTAGGATTTCAAATTCTTTAAAGTAAAAATTTCAAATTCTCTTTAAAAATAAAAAAGAAAGAGTTTAAAATTTTTCTTTCCCTTTTTTCTTGTGACTCCATTTCATCCCTTTCAAAGTTGACATAAAAAATATCAAAAAAAATTTTAATCATTGAATATTCAAAATTATTTTTTAAATTATTTAATATTATCTAATATTAATTTTTTTTAAATTATTAAATATTTCAAAATTGACTAATATTTTGTTTTATAAAACTTGAACTTAAAATTTCAATATATATATATATATATCAGTTTTATCCATTGTAGAAACTAAATTGCTCTATCCAAAATAAAAATTTAAATTTTAAAATATTTGAATTGACTTATCTAAAAAAATTTAAATGATGAAAAATGAAATTAAAGTAATTCAAATTTTAAAAACTTCAAATTCTTTGAATTTTTAAAATTCTTCCTTCATTCACACTGTGAAAAGAATTTAAATGGAAATTACTTTCCAATATTCACTTTAATTTTGAAACGTTTCTTTAAGATTTTTTCTTTTAAATTGCAAAAATTAAATCGAATTGCATGAAGTTCAAGTTAGTATATTAATGGCCATTTAATGAACCCTTTAAGATCCAAATTAATTACATTAAAGATAAGACTCATAAATAACATAAAATCACAAATTTGGATTTAACAAGCAAGATATTAAACCAAACGTTCAAAGGAACAATAATTATTTTTATAAAAAAAATAGCACATGAACCCCCATATTTTTTTTTAAATTTTTCGCTTGTATAATTTTGTTTAACCTTTCACGTAGTTCACAATTGGTCATTGAAACATCTTGTTCTAAGATATTTCATGAAACATCTCATTCAATAAATTTATCTCCTAATATAGTATTAAGAATCGTTGAAACTTGTAATTTTTAATTATTAGTAGAGAATAAGCAAGAAAATGTTTCACTAACATATTTTTTTTACATATTCATTTTTCTAAAAAGTTTATTTACTCATTAAATTTTTTGTTTTTAAGGAAAAAAAAAACCAATAGATCCATCCTCAGCAAGTTCCTGATATCCCAATTCAATCATAGCATAAATTAAGACATAATTTGGGAGAATTGGAAAGTAACTAAAACAACTGAAGAAATTGATACATAAGCATCGCACATTGTCAACTTTTTTACTTTGTAAATCCCAATATAACAATGCAAAGAAATTAAAATTTTTCAGAAGTAACTGAATCAAATGACAAAGAAAAAAATCAACATCGATGGAACCAAAATAGGGGACTGTGGTCTAATTTCATTACGTAATCATTTCATTAATGAAATTATCTGATGTCAACAGCAATAGATAAAAGTAGCACAGTGAGGAAATTTGTATCATAGGATCCATTAAATGATGTCACATTTAAGGATAAGTTTTCAAGTTGAATTGAACTTATCTTTTCAAAATTGGATTGCATCAAACAACCTGGTTTAACCCGAAAAATGGATAAATCAACCCATTGTACAGTCTTGAATAATCACATAATAAGTTAGAATTGACACACAAAAAAAGTACTTAAAAAATGGTCAAAATCAATTATTAAAAAAAAACAAGAAATGGATTCACAATATGTCAGTAAATATTGTTTAATACCATATCATATCAATATTCTTAAAAAAATATTATAAAAAAGTCTAAGGTACGGTCTTTATATATATATATATATATATATATATATATATATATATTGTAATGTGAACTTGTTATAATATACATTTTTATCTGGTCAAAACAAAGCCATCATTCTCTATTGTTGGAGCCTATATATATTTATTGCCATACATTTCAATCAGATTTTTTTTATATATTTTAATGTTAAGAATCAAAGAATATCTTTAGTTTTTAGTATTGTAAATTTATGATATTATATTTTTAAAATATTATTATAATTTTTTTTTTTAATAATCATATTACTCATATTGAGTCTATTTATTTTTTATTATATATGAAAATTTGACTAGTACGTCTTTTTAATGAGATTTTTTTAATCACGTTTTTTATCTACAAAATTTGAATCTAATATGTTATCTAATATCATTTAAACCAGTAACTTGTTAATTAATTATTATAATATTATATTCATATGTACATAAATAGACTATCTCGATCGAGCTATCATGTAATGGAAAACTTTTAGTTTGAAACCGTGTGTATTTCTCGTGGCATGAATAGAAAAACATGAGATATATACTCAAACAATTAAGTATAATAATATATAATAAAGGGTTAAAGGAAAAGGGAGAGATAAGAGGCACATACTTGCATAATAAATATTCTTGGTGAGATGCATACTCCGTCTGAGATTTCCACCTACAATATGCCAATAATGGTTCCTCATATTAGTCAGCAAATAATTTGTGGTGAAAAATTGACCAAATAACCAAAATTTTACAAAGAAAAAGGGATGAAATCAAAGAAGACAGCATGTAGAATTAATGATGTGGAAGCAGCAATATAGTACCATTTATGACTGACCAAGCATTGGGAGAAGATATAGCATGCACCGAATCCATGGAAACTGAACCTATTACAACAACACAAAGCACTTTCTATAGAATACACAAACAAACACACCCCTTCAGATAAGGAATGCGAGGAGAAGAGATATTTTATATACTTGACATGATTTCTTTATCTTCTAATTCACAATGGTCAAACTTTCCAAGGCAATTAATTGCAATATGATAATATATACTCTCCATGGCATATGCTGATATGCGAATAGCCGGCCAATTAACATTCCCTAGGCAAATAATAAAGAAGATGAGAAAATAAAATCAAATGCAAATAATATAGGTTAAATGGCACTACTATATGAATCTATATCTATATTTATATATCTATATATTTATATTTATCTATCTATCTATATATATATATAAATCAATTTCACAAATATTAAAAAAGTTTATTAAATACATTTAATTTTTATAATTTCACATAAATATACATAATATTTCTTAAAATATCTTACCACATTTATAATAAATAGTGTTCTTATAAAAGTATTTTTAGATTAAAAATATTAAATGAAATTGCCTTTAATTAAATTTGCTTATATTTTAGTTAAAAATATTTAAATTTTTCTGCTTATAAATAAGTTCAAAGAGAATAATGTATTATGATCGTAAAAAATTTACATAATTAATTAATCATAAATTATAATGTGTATAATATTTTAAATAATTATTATAAAAGACAACATACATATCATTAATGGTGAATTATGATTGAATAATCGTATAAAATTAGTTTTTATAAACATATTATCACCATTAAATCTTAAAAATTATATGTTTAATTGAAAAGGTCATCCTTTTATTTTTGTCTATCTCGTACATTATCTACTACCTTTTTATGTTAAAATTTATCCTAGTTCCTAGTAAGCAACTTTAGTAGGTTGGCCGAAATATAATTCGTAGTAAGCAACATTGGATAGTTTACTTGTCACCTTGCATATGGAATGAAAGAACGAACATAATCTTTGTCGGCCTCATGCTTGGGTAATTGAGAATTCCAAGTAATTCAATATGTTACATGTTTACACCTATGTTATTGATATCATGTTATTGATATCATTATGTTATGTTATTAATTAGTATTAGTAAGATTAATTTTCGTTCAGAAATATAACTATCATTTCTTAGCGAATTTTTTTTTTATAATTATATATTTTTCATCCATAACATTATAATTGAGATTTTGTTTAATAGCATCAACTCTAATATTACTCTGACCAATGTTGACACAATATTTTATCAAATATGATAGTCTTTTCTAAATATTTGAAATTTATTTTATTTTTGCTCTGGATTTTGTGAGCCTGTAATATTTTGACGTTATTCTGAATTAGAGATCTCAATCTGATCATAATTAATGGTATGAATCCCCGGCGAAAACTAAAGAATAAGAAGAATAGAACAAGAGTAGTTCATATAATTAATTAACGACCAATCAAACTAAAAGCGATCGACTAGCTAGCAAACAAAATTAGGTAGCAACTGGTTTTAAAAGTTTCTTTTGGGAACATATGCCAGGCCTGAAAAAAAGTATATTTTATTTTATGTTTTAGAAGTATATATCATATTAGAATTTAGGAGAGCGGCTACATATACGCATGCACACCCATTCACCAAAAAAAAACAAGTAAATAAACAAATAAAAGGAGAGCGGCTATATATAGTATATAATAATTTACTTTTTCTACGTCATTATTATAGTATTTTATTTATTCACGGAAATTGAACGTTGTACTAAAAAGAATTGCAACAATTCATACAGGAGTGTAAGCGGGTTGGGTTGAAAACACAAAACTCGTTACCCGACTCGTACAGTGTCAGGTTTTGGTTGAGTTGTGTTGGGTCTGACCCAAACATTGAAAAAATTGATTCAAACTTATTACATTGATTTAGATCAATTCAAATTTATAAGTTACTCGTACCTACTTATATCCCTAAATTCCCATATCCTACTCAACCAATTGATACCCATAAATGACTCTTAAAAAAAATTCTTTAAGTTAAAGACTAATAAATAACATTAATAATCGATTAATGTAAATGATATTTCTTCCGGACCTTATTATAAGATCCAAATAACTAACAAATTAAAAAATGTTGGTTTTATTTGTTAAGATTAATGAATATATTAAGTTTTTATTTTTTTTTCCAAGATCACCTCAAAATTAATAAGATACCTAATATATGTTACCAAAAAAATTTGCGTTTCAAGAAAAAAAATGAGACTACTTCCTTTGGAACATAATTTTTTATGTTTAAAGTTTATATACACCTCTTAAGAAATATTTAATACTAGTAAGTTAAGTCTAAAATTTCTTCATTTAATTTAATATTTTTAACAAAAGCAATTATATATGAGTAGGAATAACAATTGTTAAATAAGAGTATATATGAAAAATGTTAATTAATATTATTTAAAATATGTAAAACATTAAACATTTTGAAACAAAAGACAGCTTAATATATATATATATATATAAAATGGACCAGATAGAGTATTTGTTTTTAAAAGACATAGTTTAAATAAATTTCACTTGCTTTTTAAACTCTAAATTGAAGTTTTATTTTAGTAATATATATAAATATATATTAATGAGACTTGTATTAAATGAAGTGCATAATATATTGAAGTAAAACTCTAATTCTGATTGGAGGAGAATAACACCAATCACATTTAAAGAACTATACCAAAATTTTATTAATTTTGTAATAAAAAAAATTAAAGATTGGGATATAATAATAGATTGGTCTTATAAGAAAGATCAAATTAATTTAAAATTTTTAGATCTTCTAATAAAAAATGAAAGAAATATATTTTTTTTACTGATAAGTCATTAATTTTAGTAGATTTGAATTCAATCCTATTAAAATGTGAGTCCATGGTTAGGAAAGAGAGAAAAAGAAAGATTTATGATAATAATTTTGTGAGAAATGATATTCGCTGCTTAAAACTTCTTTAAAACGAGAGGAAGTGTGTAGGAACTAGGTGTGGCAAAACGGGCCAGCCCGCCCCGTTTTGGCCCGCCAAAAATGGGTCGGGACTCTTTTTGATTTTTTTTTTATTTTTGTTGCCTCTGCGTAGGCTGTCATCCGCTAGGGGATTCTGTCATGTTGACCTTGATTTGGCCTCTTCTGTTAGGCAGATCATCTTGACGTTCAATGATTGGCCAAGTGCCAAATTCCGCTTGGGGAATGATTATTGATCTTTTTTTTTATTTTCTCTTTTTGAAGGGGTGCCTCTGAGTAGGCGAATGGGAATTGAGGATCTTATGTGTCCCAGAGTATTATTTAGAAAGCCTCTTCAGGTTTAGCTTCACTCGTCGCTTGAGTTGGAAAGCTATCTTCCACTGAGGAAGTCTAAGTCCTTTGACTCGGATATTTTGCTTGGTTGATCATGCTTCCATCGGGGAATCTTGCTGATCTTGCTTTTGATAGCCTTCACTGGGAATTCGACCCATGAGTGGAAGCTTGAGATGTCTCTGGGCAGTATTATTTCGGCAAGCCTCTCCAGGCTCAGTTATTTTGTATGTGTTTGATTTTCTGAATTTTGCCTTTTTTCGTTTTTTTTTGGCTTTTTCTGTTTTTGCCTTTTTTTGTCAATTTCGGCTTTTTCTGTTGGTTGCTATCATACACAAGCAATTTTTCTATTTTTCTATTTTATAAAATGGGTCGGGCCGGGCTGGCCCGCCAAGGAAAAACGGGTTGAAAATGCTGGCCCGCCTCGCCTAAGGATGGGTTGACGGGCCGGGGGGCCGGCCTGTATACCCAAAAAATATTTTATAAAAAAATGGAAAAAAAAATATATTTTATTTTAAATAAAAAAATGGAAAAAAATTATAAAAAAAAGGAATCATTGCTTGTTACCATAAGTACCAGGAGGCACACATAACATAAGCACTTGTGTAGTAGCCCGCATTCTACAGTTAATTTTATGCATTCACCAACATGTACCAATATTAATTTCATTTACTTAAGAAAAATGTTAAAAATGACAACTAGTGAATTGATTTAGGTTTTGGCTGTGGCTGGAAATGGGCTCTATTGGGCCTATTTTTTTTTTTATTAAGCCTATTATTTATACTAGCCCAATCACTAAATCAATAAATTCATCCCTAGTAGGAACTGATATCTCAAAAATTGGGGTCATGGTTAGCGACTTAGGGGTCGCTGCTTATTTATTTATAAGAAAAATGTGACTGCAGTGTAAATATAGAGGCGTGTAATAATCCCAAGCGTGTGGTTCAGCGGCAGGAGTTGATTGACGCTTAAGCAAGGTCAGGGGTTCAAATCTTGCCTTGCGTATGCAGTCGCGTTAAATCTTGGGGCCAGCTATCCCATCCTTTGAGGTGCCTCCCATCCTTTGAGGTGCCTCCAACGTAGCGAGGAGATTAGTCACTGTTATTGGCGGTAGATACTCCAGGGACGAACAAAAAAAAATATAGAGGCGTGTCTCTTAGGCTTAATACTAATAATAGTAAATAAATACATATTTCTTGAAATAATAAATAATGTATATATATTTTTAAATAATGTGTATATATTTAAAAATATAATAATTATTATACTTAAGACTTTTAAATAAACTTATTTATAAAAATTAAACTTCCATTTTATTTCTCTTCTATTTTTTCTTTGCTAAACAACTTTTAATTCACTATATTTCTTATCTATTTTCTTATATTTTCTTGCATTTCTCTTTTTTCACTTTTTTTATCAAAGAAAAACTTAGTGTGTAGACCCAAATGTTAGGTGTGACCAGATAAAAATGAATTAAACTAACTCAAAAATAGTTCAAAAATTAATTCAATTATTAACTCATTGAACTTAATTCATGAATCAAATGAGCTGAACATGGGTTAAAGATTGAGCTCGATAAATTAATGAGTCAAACTTAAGTTCTGTATTACTCAATTAGTTCATAAATCGGCTTGATATATATATATATATATAAAACACCCCTTTGTGGTGTCTTAGTGGACCTTTGTTTTTGTTTATTTTTGTAACCCTAATTTTTGCCT